GCGCTTCCGCGCGCGCGCCAAAGCGGTTTGGGGCGCGAGCCGCTGGGCGCGCACCCGGGGAGGGGGCAGCCCTCGTCGCCGCGCCCCCTCGGAAGCTGCCCTTCCTGAGCGTCTCTCCAGTCCGGGCCACGCTCTGGTGTCAGGTACCGGGCATGGTTTGAGGTAGGTTGGCCGCAAGGCGCGCGTGGGCGGAAGACCAGTGGTGGGGGGAGGGGGTGACCGCGGGGGAGGGGGAGATCGCGGAGGACGGGGCCCGAGTCACGACTGCTCGGGTGGGCCGGCTGTGAGGGCAGTGGGGGCAGCGCCCGCGCGGCCGGGTGCCCCTCGGGCCGGGGAGGGGGCGCCGTGCTTGCAGCCGCCTCTTTGGGTAGCGTCCAGCCCCGGGGATTCAGAGGAACCAGACGCACTCCTGCAAGTGTCCAAAGTTTGCTCACTTTGCTGGACTTAACTTTGAATGGTGAGGCATAGTTAGCGATTTAATGCATTTACAAAAAAAACAGGAGGGGAGACGGTTTGCTGGGTTTAAATGTTTAGTGTGTGAAGTGTTGGGTCTGCTATTTCTGAAGGCCATTGCGGGAGAAAATGAACATCTTCTTTACGGTTTCAGGTCATTGTTTAGGGAGTTTCGGGTGTTTCTTCCAAACCACCCGTAAGGAACTTTGGCTTTGATCCAGTTCATATTCACATTTTTAATCACAAGTATTGCTTGAACAAGCGCTTTACAGGACACTAATATGAGGTTAACAAGTGATTAGAGTGGAAATGCTCAGATAGGCTAACTGGCCTTTGAAAGGCAAATAAGAGGGAATGCCCCAGGTGCGCTGTACAGGCCCACAGCTGCATCCTGTCACTGCTGAACGCTAAATGTTGAGCCAGGAAATCCATCAAATGAGAGACAAGAAATTGATTCCTAATTTAGGGCCCTCTCCACACTTTCCCTGGCTGATACCTTAAGGTAACCTGCTCCCCTATTGATGGGGGGAGGGGAGATTTTTTATATCACACCTCTACATGATTATGGAATAGAATCCATTTAGTTCTCTCTAGAGCTTCTTCCCCCCAGCATCTCTGTTACTTCAGGAGCCCCTTGAGGCTGTAACATTGTGAGGATGAAGGCAGAGACAGTGCGGTGCCAGGCAGTGATGTCTGGGGTCTTTGGACCCAGGTGGGTAAGGGTTGAGCTGGGCTGGTTTTCTTGCTCTGCGGGAGTGCTGTGCTGAGCCATATTCCAGCCCGAGGTACTATTAATCCTGCCTTTATTTAAAAATGATGTTGTATACAATGTGTGCTCTTGTATTTGTTTTGAGGCTTTAAAAGACTGCATTAAAACATTTATGTTAGGGAAATTTGGGGGATCCTCTTTAAAGGTTGTGCCTGAGTCAACACCTCACTTGCTTTTGCTCTGTGAGTCAAGTTCTTTGATCTAAACATCAATTTATAAAACAAACAAAAATGGATGCTGCACAGCTAATGCACAGCACCTGATTGCTGTGTAGGTCCAGGCACTGGGGAACACACCAAAAGGTGACTGTCCTAATCATATTGCCACCTAGCTTGGTCATCTTGACCTAGTCACCTAGTCTTGCTGAGCCTGTTTGCCAGCAAGATGGGAGACCGGCTCATCAGGGTGCCACGAGAGAAGGCAGACCCTTCTGGAGGTAAGTTTTCTTTGATGGCTTGGTGAGCCTAGACTTGACCTGGCAAGATTGTACCCGCTTGCTTTTCCTCTGAAGGCTAGTGTTGTGCCTTGTCATCCACAGACACTCATAAATCTTGCCTGTGTGGCACAAGGACATGTTTGAATCAGAGTAGAGGAGCATCCTGCTCTGGGCTTCTTGTAGAGAGGTGAAGTATGTCAATGACATGTTGTGGTGGGCAGAAATTTTCATAAATGAGTTTAATTTTGCTATTTCAAATAAACGGGGATAGTTTTTCTTTTAATATATTTCTTTTAGTGTATTTTGTCCGCATGGCTTTTTGGAGTCTAGAATAACTGATACACTCTAGTTAGTTTAAAACATTATTCCCTTGAGAGTCAGTCTCTTCGACTCTCAGGTCACCTGAGGTTGGGGGGCCCTTCTTGATACAGGTGGAATCTGGGTGCCACAAAAAGGTTGCCATCACATCAGGGTGTGGGGGAGAGTGACTTCTTGCTGGTCATCTGGTCCTTTTGCTGTCCTCTGATGAGCTTCCCACCACTACACTGAGCCTCCTACTCCTGCCTTTAGCTTGTGTCACTGGAGTGAGCCACAGCTGGGGACCTGGGTCCACATCTGGCTGGAAGTCCCCACACTCCGAGGTCTCTCCTAGGTTCCTACTAGCACTTGAGAACCCACCCAGTTTGTGCAGGACTGTGCTCACCACTGTTTTTACCGCCCTAAGCTGGTGTTCCCAGCAGGAAGCAGGGTACAAACTCCTCGCACTTCCACATCCCCCTTAACATTTCAGTGTTTTTCTTCCCTCACCACTCCTTCTCCTCTAGATGCAAAAGTGCAAAACACAAGGGACTTGGTCTCTCCAGTTTCCTTTCTTCACAGCACCACCAGAGCTGTTTTTCCTTTGGTAGTGGGGAGGATTTGTCTCAGGACATATTTTTCAGTCCTCTGTACATTGTGGCTTAGAGTCAGGCTTGGGGCTCAAACTTCTTTGCTTGACTCTTGAGTTGTAAAGGGAACTTTAATAGCTTCTATTAAACCCCCATCCCTGGAGAAACCAGATACATCCTGGTGAAATGGGAAGGAGGCAGGGAGGAACATGCTGAGAAATTAGATATAGAATTCCTTTTTTCCCCCCATTTCCATCTTTTTGGACAGACTGATATGGATTATTCACCAAATGTCTTACCACTTGGAAAAGCTGGGACATGCTGGAGATATCAGTCAGGGGCTGAGAGGATATAGAGGAAAGAGCAACTTTGAGATGTTGGGCTAAGGAGAGGTGGTGGGGACAGGGAGAAAGAAAATGGCTTTTTACCTGTACTTGTCTAAGCCCAGCCTTATAGTTTCTTGTGGAATAATATGTTTGAAATGATTATCTCTATGCTGTTTCTTCTTCATCATCAAAACGATCCCATGTGTGTTTGGCATTTACTTAAAGGAAGAGGAGAAATATAGAAAAATCCTTGTCCTGTCTGCTTCTTGGGGATGCTAATGACTTATTTGGAGAATAAGATTAATCCTTATAAAGCCTAAAGTTGTACATCCAGGCCCTGGATTTTGTTCACATTCAGTGGGTGGAAGGTAAAGTGGTCAGGGAAGGCTTCTTGAAGGAGATGAAAGAAAAATTCCCACTAGAAGAGCCCTTGAATGCAGAGAGACAGAAAGACTGCCCAAGAATGTGGTCCTGATGTCATGCTTTTCTCTGATTGTCTACAGGAAACCCTGTACCTACTATCACCTGTAGCTAGGACAACAGGCAAGATCACTGCTGTAAATTCCTTGTGTTTTTTCCCAGACTGAAAGGAAATTAGGACTTCTCATCTAATGCTGTTATTCCTAGATGCCTGCATCTGGAAAATCATTTCAGAAATTCTCTGTATCACCTTTAAATTCTATAGCTTATCTTCCTGAGCTCAGTGGCTGCCATCTGAGTGCTTGGTGAGTTAGCGGTGAATTGGTAAGAAGTGATGGGACAGACATTGCCATGCAACCGGGGGCCTCCCTTACTGGCTCCAGCCACTTTGTGCAGATACTTGTGCTGTTCCCATGCAGATTCTTGGTAAGGCCCCTCAAGTAATTTCTTATGATTAAGGTATTTGTGAAAAAGACTATAAAAGGTCCTCTTGAAAGGTAAGGAGTAGAAAGTTGTTTATTTGCTTAAGCCTCCTGTTTATTTGCCGAAGCCTCTTCCTGTTCCTGGGGCTTGGGGTTTGCTTTCTATGTATGAAGTTTGAGAACTTCCAGAATATTTGTCCTCACCTCTGAATCCATGCAGCAATCACTCCACCAAATTCTCTTCTGTCACCAAATTCTCTTGTCCACAGAAGTATCAGCTCTGTGTGTGTGTGTGTGTGTACACGTCAGTAGAGGTACTCTATCAGCAGGGAAGATAGTTCATAAATTATTTGTATCTCTATTGTCTCTTTTAGAAGTGAAAGGTAAATTTACTGTAATTCCCAATAAAGGCCACCTAATACAATACCCTAAAGCAATAAAGGACCCTTATGTATTTGAGATCTGATGATTTTTAAGGAAAATAAATGAACTTGTCATACAGAGTGCTCCTGAGCAGAGTTAATGGTAGCTATTTTGTAGGAAATGACCTTGATGCATTTTAAAACATATAAGGTGCAGCAAAGGGAAAGGGACAGGAAGGTAACACAGGTGAGGGGACCAGGTAGCCAGCACCCCAGGCCTGGTTACACAGCTTTCATGAATTTTGTCTTTCTCTGCTATGCCAGTTTTCTCTACTGATAGGTGGTCACAAGGACCAGAGCTGAATTAATGATAGTGGGGCTGTGAATGGGAGGTCTCTTGGGCCAATGACACACACACACATGCACACATACCCCACACACCACGCACACACAGAGTTCTACTGGAGATATCTAGGGACAGTGCTCCCCGGCCCCATCTTGCTTGCCAGCTTGATCAGCAGCCATGGATTAGAGGACAAGAATGGGCGCAGGGATGAGTAATTGAATTACGACACATACTACATTTCTTTTGTATCTTTAGTTTCATGCACATGAATGTATCATGAGTACTTAGTACCTATTCAGCATTTATTGTGTCATGAGTATTTATTGCCTAGATGTCTTGGGTATAGTTATCACTTTATGAATATTATTAAGTATCTCTTTGTCCTGCCATACCTTTGTAAGTTTAATATACACGTGTTCTACCTAATTAAAATATTTTTATACTTACACAGTCATCCCTCTCATTTTCTTACTTTTCTTCAGAACTGAATTTTTTTTTTTTTTGGAAGCTATTGTCCCATCAAGATAACTGAGTGGAAGTGCTTTGCAGCCTTTGGGATTGTGTAGGTCTGTGGAGGCTTAGCACCTTGCTCATATCCACCTCAGGTTCATGGACAGACCCTGAACTGATTGCTTCAGGACCAGTTTCTGCTCTTTGTACCTCAGGAAGGATGCGTAGTCACATTGTAGATGCTGCTTCGAGTCCTGTGCAAGTTGATTGAAATGCTTAGCTCATTTTAAT